AGGGAAAAGGGTTGAAAGATCGGTAAATCAGAGCTACAAATTATATAATTTTAGTACACCTAATAAGTTCATATATCAGTTTCTCTGCAGAAAATTCAAACATAGTGTTTCACTGTAACATTTAATTTTCAGGAAATTTCATGTTGGTGAGAATGACCAAAGAAATGCATAGTAGGCTATTGCAATGCTTTCGTATTCAAAATGGTTTCTGCAGATTTCAGTTAGGTTGCAAAATGCAAATAAAACAGTCCATGTTCCACATTTTGCTTGTTACCAAAATTATTGAGGGCGTGACCCTGTTTTCTTGCTTTAAGAATAATTTATATTTCTTGCATGGCTGCGCCGCCTTTTTCGGGTTAATCATGGTGGCCGTGAACACACTGGTGAGAGGAGAATACGCGTAAGGGCTAGTTTTTACGTGAAAGCAGGCGCATCGTGGCGCCAGACAGTCCTCGGCCCTGAATGTTCGTACTTCTAGTGCCAACGCGCCAGGCAACTATGTACATGGGAACCAGATTATGTGGGCAACACCATTTAAAATTTGAATTTAATTTAAAATTTATAGGAAAATGTGCCTACATAGTTTAAGAAGTATGAGTGAATTAGAAAACTTATTAGGATGAAATATTCTGCATTTAGAAATTGGCAACGAAATGTATAACTATAGTAGAATCTTGGAACTCAAACGCCTCTTAATTAACTCAACCAACTCAAACATTAAATGGGTCTGTTGAATTTTTTTCAACTTGTACCCCGACCTAAATCTTTCTCGACCATTCCTGCTAAAACTTGTATGGGTCGAAATGCATTCAACTCTACCAATACGAACCTCGAATGGATTGGTCGAGAAAAATCTAGCCACGACTCGACCTAAAATTTGAAACACGACAAAACAGATGTGCTAAAACTTGTACAATCGAGACGTGTCTCTGATGGGCTGACACAAAGGCAAACAGGCCTACTGGGATGCTGATGCCTATGAATCGCTCTGAGTCTCGTAGTACCTTGCAACCGAATTGGACGTGCGAAAGCTGCGTTCAGTGTGATTTTTTTTGCGCTTTATATACAGTACATTTAGTGAAACAGTAATCATGGCCCCTAAGAAAGTGAGCAGTGATAGCAGCAATCCAAAGAGAAAAATGGTGAGAGTAACTGAAGAACTTAAAAATGAAATTATAGCGAGTATTGAAGGTGGTGCACGAGTGTCTGCTTTCGCGCCAGAGTATGGGATTGTCATTTGTTTCGTGTTTAGCACATTTGTATGTGTGCTTTTTCATGCATGTTTTTGTCAGTTAGGTAAGTAGAAAGCTTAAAATAGGGATCATTTGGTTTGGAACAGATTAAATTAATTTACATTATAAACTTACGGGGACTATTGACTTGGGGCTCGACCGAAACGCAACTTGACCAGCCTTCTAGAATGTATTAAGTTCATGTTCCAAGGTACCACTGTATTTTAATAAAACTGAACTGGCCGTAGAGATGGACTTAATCATAACCCATTGCAATACCTTATTTAAAATACATTCAGTTACAGTTTATTACACAATAAACATTTAAATGATCAACTGCATTTATGGAAAAGCAATGTGGTAAGATAAGAATGTACCAAATCATCAAATCAAATTTTTTTCTAGATGGAGAAATATAAATTCACTGATCTGCCATAACATTAAAACCACTGACAGGTGAAGTGAATAACCTTGATTACCACATTACAATGGTGCCTGGTAAAGGTGTCATTATATATTAGGCAAGTGAACAATCGGTTCTCAAAGTTGATGTGTTTGAAGGAGAAAAAAAGGGCAAGCATATAAATCTGAGCGACTTTGACAAAAGTGGTCCAAGGAAGGACAACCGGCTAACCAACGACGGGGTCATGGGCAACCACAGCTCTTTGATGTGCCTGGGGAGCAAAAGGGGTCATGGGCAACCACAGCTCATTGATGTGCCTGGGGAGCAAAGTGGTCATGGGCAACCACAGCTCTTTGATGTGCCTGGGGAGCAAAGGGGTCTTGGGCAGCCACAGCTCATTGATGTGCCTGGGAAGCAAAGGGGTCATGGGCAACCACAGCTCCTTGATGTGCCTGGGGAGCAAAGGGGTCATGGGCAACCACAGCTCATTGATGTGCCTGGGCAGCAAAGTGGTCATGGGCAACCACAGGTCTTTGATGTGCCTGGGGAGCAAAGGGGTCATGGGCAACCACAGCTCATTGATGTGCCGCGGGAGCAAAGTGGTCATGGGCAACCACAGCTCATTGATGTGCCTGGGGAGCAAAGGGGTCATAGGCAACCACAGCTCATTGATGTGCCTGGGGAGCAAAGTGGTCATGGGCAACCACAGCTCTTTGATGTGCCTGGGGAGCAAAGGCTAGCCCGTCTGGTCCAGTTCCACAGAAGAGGGACTGTAGCACAAATTGAAAAAGTTAATACTGGCTATGATAGAATGGTGCCAGAACACACAGTGCATTGCAGCTTGCTGCGTATCGGGCCGTGTAACCACAGACCAATTAGAGTTATTTAGCTGCTCCCTGTCCACAGCCGAAAGCGACTACAGTAACCACGTGAGTGATAGAACTGGACCTTGGAGTGATGGAAGAAAGTGGCCTAGTCTGATGAGTCACATTTTCTGTTACATCATGTGGACGGCCGGGTGCATGCATTTCATTTATCTGGGGAAGAGATGGCACCAGGATGCACTGTGGCAAGAAGGCAAGCCGGCAGAGTGTGATGATCTGGGCGATGTTCTGCTGGGAAACCTTGGGTCCTGACATTAATGTGGATGTTACTCTGATACATACCACTTACCTAAACAATTTTAGAGACCAAGTATACCCCATCATGGCAATGGTATTCAACGATGGCAGTGGCTTTTCTTCAGCAGGATAATGTGCTCTGCCATCCTGCAAAAATTGTTCAGGAATGATTTTAGGAACATGGAAAATGAGTTCAAGGTGTTGACTTGCCCTCCAAATTCCCCAGATCTGAATATGATCCAGCATCTGTGGGATGTGCTGGACAAACAAGTCTGATCCATGGAGACCCCACCTCGCAACTTAGAGGACTTAAAGGATCTGCTGCTAACGTCTTAGTGCCAGATACCACAGGACACCTTCAGAGGTCTTCTGGAGTCCATGCCTCGATGGGTCAGAGCTGATTTGGCGTCACAAAAGGGACCTACACAATATTAGACAGGTCGTTTTAGTGTTATGGCTGATCAGTGTGTATACTTAATGGACAGATGATGATGTACAAGTGTTGTTGAGCATTAATTTGAAGGACGATATACAGAGGGAAGTTGAATCGTGCAAGGGGAGCTATAAACTTCATCTCAAGGTCTCATTGCATTTGGCTGAGCTGGGGATCAGCCACACCGCAGAGCAATGGCACAAAAAGTGAAGCAAGACTACAATAACATCAAAGATCACAACAGTAAAATTGGGGCTGTTCATTGCGAATGAAATTGTGTGTGAATATTTAATCTGCAAACTGTTTGCATCGTGGCTTATTTAGCATAAAGGTTACAGTTCCTGTTGTGTGGTGGGAAAGCAACACACAAAAGTGGCCGGGAACTGCAAAAATTTCTGGTCGAAACAGCTCAGGACCTTGGAACCAGGAACCAGGTTTCAAACCTTCAGTGGAAAGCACCTAAAGAGAGGAAATTATTCTTTTAGGAAAACCTGACAGTTGGAAAGTAGGTTTCCTCATCTACTTTCTTCCCTGTCTTGGTGTTAATTTTGTCAGTAAGTAGAGTAGGTGGTGAAAGAGCTAATTTTAACCTGAGAAAATTGTATGTTATTGTATATTAAACATTTTCATAGAATGCATGAATATAATAATATATGCATCAGAATATCCAGCCCAGTCAAAACATGCTGTTTGTGATACATTCAGTTTGAATAAAAAATGCTGTTGCAAAATTTGTGCTTGTAATGATAAGAGCTACTGTACTTCATGGTTTGTTGTAGATAATTGAACCTTATAGGCTTGAATTCCAGGTGCTATGGACCTGCTGTAATTATTCATTATGCAATTAATGTATAATGAATGGCTCTACATTTCATAATGAAGTTTCATATTCCAGAAATGACATATAAAGGAATTTCTCCTACTTCTGTTTTATAATTTTATCTTATTCTACAACACAGCAGAGAAACTTTTGATTTTATATTTAATTCTGTATATTTAACTTAAGTTGAAATTTATTTGCCTGACAGTCTGTAGTCTGTAGCTGGTCTTATTTCAGAACAAATGTGTTTATTTATTTAGCAGAAATTTTTAATCCAACATGACATACATTTTGAGAAAGCCAGGTCAGACCGTCCCTGGAGCAGCTGAGGATTACGGGCCTTGCTCAGAAACCCGATGGGGAAGTCACTCTTCTGACCCTAGGAATCGAACCAGCAACCCTCCGAATCTAGAGCATCTTTCATATTCTTTGAATATTCTTGTTTGTTTCTTTTTTTAGGACCATATTAAGAACCAAGATGCGTAATGTAATTATTTATTGATTGTTTTTTTTTTTTTATATATTGTTATATAATATTTATGCCTATTCTGTAAGCTTCGACATACAGAAACCATAGGGAATAAGACTTAAAAGCTATCTTCATCAAATTATAATTTAAAAAAAATTGTACTTAAGTATTTAGGTGTTCTACTGTAGTGACCATTTCAGTGTAGTGTTGGTTTATTTCATATGATGTTCATATGAGTAACCTATCCCAGTTTTATATTCAAGCAATCTCCTGCATGCAGGCTATTAGGGACCACTAAATTAATTGTACATGCATAGTGAAAAAGAGCAGTTCTGAGCAACTCAAACATTTTAAAATCATGCAAGATATGCTCTGGTTTTGGGAGGCAAAAGTCTTGTATTGTGAGATAAAGACTCATAAAAAGACTGGTTACTGAGGTCTTGGTTTTGGTGTATAAGTATTTGTCCGTAACCTTGATTCTCAGCATTTATGCTTGTCTACATCCCTGCTTCTCACTTTCAGAATCATGTGGAAGGCGCTCAGTACCCCCACATGACAAACCGGGACCAGAGCTCACTTGACACTATCTCCCCTCCCTATGTCAATTCCCGACTAACAGGTAATTCCTCTTCGTTATTCTCATTTAGTGCCTCTATGTTGCCTGGTTGTCACCATTTTCAAAAAAAAATTCTATGAAATTCCTCTTGTGAGGGCTTCTGGATGTTGGAAGTGGATGATTCACTGCTGATTTGAGTTGTTGTTTCACGTTTATTTCTCTTTATATATTGCTTGTGATTTTGCATTTTATCAAGATGAAATTGATTACTTTGTTTCTCCTCGGAGGTTTGGGGAGGGGGGTGGGTGGGGCGCTGTGGCTTTATGCCTTCTTGGTTGTGAGTTTCAGCCTAGGCTGAAGGTGTCTGGAGTTTGCACTTTGGTTCCCGTGGTCACTGCTGCTTCCTCTGGGTACCCAGGTCTGCAGGCATGTGCTGCAGTAATATGAGGCTGGTGGATTGGTGCTTGTGACTCACCTGTAGCGTGTGACTGTGTGTATGTGTGTTTGCCCTGCGAGACGTGGTGCCTTAATGTGGGTGGCTTCTGCCTTTGTATTCTGTGTTTTGTGTGCTGTGGTATGGGCCCCAAGCTCACCGTGACCCTTTACTAATAAGGAGGTATGAAAAACGGAGGGATTCATTGTCTTATGCTTCAAATCAGTGTTTTGCTGACATTTACAATAAAACAAATAGTAATGTTTATCATAAAAATATTGTGTAAAGTAATTGTTCTTAAAAATGATATATCAGTGGGATATTAATTAATTAATTACAAAGAAATCCAAGAACCAAATGACTAGTTGTCATAAGGGATTTTTCTCTGTAATATATCAGAAAAGTACACCTCCCTTTTGATTACTCTATATCACCATTGTAATACCCTGTTGTTAGGGAAGTCCTCAACAAGCTTAAAAAGTATTGTAACAGAAGATGGTGTTAGATTTATTGAAATTATCATAATTTGATTGTAATTTAAGCCTTTGCTTTGGCAGTACCTTAATAATTCAGCATGATTTCAATCATAAACTGTACTGATTTTCAACATCACATTCATTTAGAGAGTGTCCAGGCAACCTTTTGATTTCTTTTCATGGGAACTTAAGAACTCATAGCCTACTGCCTAATGGCACAAAGATTTTGCCTTTGGTTCTGCCACTCGTGTTTGTAACAAAATTTTTATTGACAAAAAAAGCCAAAAAAAATACACACCAGCTGATCACTGGCTATACCCAAACATACTAAGTAGCACAATGAAATACTAGATGCAGAAAACCAAGGGTACATTTCTGGGAAATGTACAAAGACTGGGAGTTTACTTCTGCTGCTTATGTAAATAAGTATCTCTGCAAAGGTATTTCTGGAAACATTGGGCACAAGGCAAGTAATGCCTTAGGCAGAGTGGCAGCATATCGCGGGGCATTTATGTCCTTAATCCTAAGGGCAATTCAGTCACCAAATCACCTAAGTAATTTCTTTTACCTGTAACAGCAAGACTGCGGCATGTGTGATATGCAGCTGAAATTTCTGAGTAGGTCAAATTGAAACATTGCCAAGAATCAATGACTGTGGGTTTTTAAATTACAGAAAAAAATACAGATTTTTTTCTGTAGTAGTTTCCAGTTGTTCTATTTATGAGTAATATATAATGATATATAATTTCTTTCATATTATATGAAATAATAAAATTAGGTTTTAAAATATTGCGTATTTTCACACTGTCACTTTTGTTGTGATTTCAAAATACTGCAGAATGTTGTGCTACCTGTAGTACCTCATCACCCAGGCCTAGTAACAACTCTAAAACTGCTTATAAAAGTGTATCATTTCACTGCTTGTATTTTGTGTTTCTTGCAATTTATCTGCCCTCTGCTGGTCTGGTGGAATACCGACCATGTGCCGGACCTTAACGGCGTGCAGAATAGTGAAGTATGAACCAGGGTTTGCACAGTAGCATTAACGTTTCTGGGAGTGGGAGTTTCTGTATGCCTTCTGATCTAAGCAAAGCCTGTGAGTCGCACCGCTACCCGTAGCCTTAGTGTTATGCCTCAGTGCATATGATTGCAGAGTCTCTTCAAAATTCACCAAGTAAATAGATGCAGTCATGTGAGAGGTGTGATGTTTCAATGACGGCCCATCGTTACAGCTGCCGTCTTCTGTTCTTTTCACTTCATAATAGTGTGCGTAGTGTAATATTGATCTTAAGACTATGTTCTCTTCATCAAAACAAAGCTTATGTGTGGCATTTCACACCTGTCACAATAAAGCAAGTATCGTATGGCAAAGCTTTGTTTGTGGATTCTTAAAAAAAAAAAAATCATTAACAGTGCATTTAATTAACGGGATTTTCATTAGTGTGTTTCAAAGGGTCCCATTTTCAAACCTGATTGCCATGGTGTGCAGCAGACATGATTACTCTATGGATACTATTTCATATATAAAAATTCATTAAAAATCACTTCTGTGATTGTATCGTGTTGTATCATTATGCTTTAATGCAGCTGTCTGGATCCCATGTGCAAGCAGCATTTGTCCTGTTTCCATCCAGTATAGCAATCAATACCTCATTTCTTATGTGAGCTGGTGGCAAAATTTAAGACGTACATGGAATGGCAGGGGTGCCCTTGAGCTGAAGTTTGGGAATTAAAATGGGGTTCTTAAAGCCATCCAACAAAAGCCGTGTGAGTGTGCGTTCACTAAAATCGCATAGTAAAATACAAAAAACTTAGTGACTTATGTCAAACAAAATGAATTGAATAATAAAAATACTAATACCAGTTACCAATAATGTAATCATATTCATTTTCAATAAGAAATAATACGTTAATAAATGTATATCATTAACATCATCTGTGGGTCTTATCAGTTTGACGGGAATTGCCTAGTAATTGCTTCAACCGAACTTGCCAAACTTGCTAAGCTGCCGATTGCCGAGAGTCGGGAGTAGTGAGCCACTGCTACCATGCAGCTAGGCATGCACACAGCAGAAATACAGCAGGTTACGGTATGCGGAGGGGCACCATGCGGCCGGGCATGCACACAGCAGAAATACAACAGATTGCGATGTGCAGAGGCGCACTTAAGGCAATGTGACTACAGTCAGTCTGCGAAAAGCAAATGTAAGTGAATTTTAAAAATATTTTTATACGCTTAGAATCTAAGACTTTGACTTGTACGATGCGTGAATGTACAAAAAGTTTGATTCTTTTAGATATGGAATCTGATTTGTCTGATTCACTGAAAAGAACGGGTTCAAAACAACGATTTTTTCATGAATTGGACATCACTATCGTTCACTTGGATAGCTGTTTTTGCATGTGAGTAGTGTTTCTCGCTAAGACCAGTTCATGTAGTGCTTTTCTCTCTGAAAATTGTGCAAATACAAATGCGATTCTGTGTCGTGTTGTGTTGGACTTGGATACTCATACATCAATTGTGTTACAACAGATTTGCGGTATGATATGCATTGTAGCAGGACTGACTGTACACTGTATGGACAAAAGTACTGGGAGACATGGCCATGATGTCCCATTGTAAATCCATACGCATCAGTATGCCGTTGATTCCCCCCCTTGCACCTATAACAGCTGCCACTCTTCTGGGAAGGCTTTCCACAAGTTTATGGAGTGTGACTGTGGGAATTTTTGCCCATTCATCCAGTAGAACATATGTGAGGTCAGACACTGATGTTGGATGTGAAGGCCTGGCTCACAGTCGCCGTTCTAGTTCATCCCAAAGGTGTTTGATGGGGTTGAGGTCAGGGGCTCTGTGTGGGCCAGTCAAGTTTTTCCACACAAAACTCACCCAACCATGTCTTTATGGATCTCACTTTGTGCACTGGGGCACAATCATACTGGAACAGAAAAGGGCTTTCTCCAAACTGTTCCCATAAAGCTGGAAGCATAGAATAGTCCACAATTTCTTGGTATTCTGAAGCATTAAAAGTTCCCTTCACTGGAACTAAGAGGCCGAGCCCAACCCCTGAAAAACAACCCCATACCATTATCCCTCCTCCACCAAACTTTACAGTTGGCATAATGCAGTCAGACAGGTAATGTTGTCCTGGCATTGACCAAACTTGTCCATCAGACTGCCAGACAAAGTAGCGTGATTTGTCACTCCACAGAACATGTTTCCACTGCTCCAGAGTCCAGTGGCAGTGTACTTTACATCACTCCATCTGACGCTTCGCATTGCGCTTAGTGATGTGAGGCTTGCATGCAGCTGCTCGGCCATGGAAACTCGTTCCATGAAGCTCCCAGCGCACAGTTTTTATGCTGGGGTTAATGCCAGAGGAAGTTTGGCACTCTGCAGTTACTGAGTCAACAGAGTGTTAACAACATTTCTGCAGTCCGGGACCCTGCTCTGTTACTTTACGTGATCTGCCACTCTGTGGCTGAGTTTCTGTTGTTCCTTATTCTTACACTAAGATACACTGCAATAATACCACTTACAGTTGACCATGGAGTATCTAGCAGGGAAGAAATTTCACAAACTGACTTCTTGCAAAGGTGGCATCCTGTGAAACATTGAGTGACCCATTTTTTCGCAAATATTTGTATGCCTGACCTCATGCCTAGATGCAATGGCACTGAATGACACACCTGAATTAAATTATTGAGAGATGTGTCCCAATACCTTTGTCTATATAGTGTATATATAATTTATTTTTTCTTCCACCACTTATTTCTGTATCTCAGAATTAATATTAATGTATGTTAAAGCTGTTAAGGGATGTTAGGGTGCTAAGGTGTACAGTACTTGCATGCTGCTTATGAATGTTCTATGAATGCATTATGAAGGTCCACTGAATGTTCTATGAATGCATTATGAAGGTGCACTGAATGTTCTATGAATGCATTATGAAGGTGCACTGAATGTTCTATGAATGCATTATGTATGCATTATGAAGGTGCACTTAATGTAAAGTGTTAACTAATATTTTAGGAATCAAATAGAAAATCATTATACAAATGAGTGATTCTGTATATTTGATATTAAACGATTGCAGTTTTCATCCTAATTGTATGTAGGTTCCCAAGGAATTAAGTGTTAAGGAGCAGTTCTG